TTTTTTTCTCGGCTACCTTTGGTAATGATTTTCCGCTATTGGATACAAAATATCTCTTTTTTAACGTTGAAAATAAGCGTAGTTATCTATTCCACTTAAGGCCTTAATGACTAACATGAATATATCAACGCTGATCGCTGCAAGATTCCCCAAACCGAATACGGACAGGTATGCTTGCATAGCCATCAACGCGTACTCAGTGATATGGAGGTTACGTAACTAGAAAGACAAAGCACTGCTGGGTTCTATAGGTAAACTGCACAAGTTGTACTGTGCATAGTGATTCAGTTTTAATATGTTTGTTTCCTCTTTCTTTCCACAGATGAAAAGGCGTCACTATATTCAACCACCCTGATTTACAGATAATAATTGAAGCTCCTCATTTTATCGATACCTTACCACATCTCTGGGAAACAGAAAAATTTTCAAATGCAAATTTTGAAATCTTCTCGAAATCTTCAAAATATTCGGAGCATCTTGCAGTTTCAGAGGTATTGAACACCTTACCGTATTTGCATCTATCACAAAAGAAAGTTTTCCGTGTGGTTGAAAATCCTAGAAACATCAATTTTAATGAGAGGTTTTTTTTCCAAGCTACATCATAATTAAAATCCAATAGAGTTAAAACAGTTGGCACAAGTTATGGAATCTTCATTTCAAGCTTATTCGCCCGTCTGGTAAGTCTAATATACACGACGATGGGCCGAACTAACCAGACAAAATGTTTTATTCTTCCTTGGTCAAAAATAAGAGATTTACACGCATTCTATGTAAAGGGCAGTAAAATGCCGTACTTCTCACATCTAGAGTGAATCCTAAAGATTTCTTCTTGCGTGTAGTTATTGACGTAGTAATAACGTTTGAACATATTGATTTAGCGACCTTTTCAAAGAGTCTATGACGCCGAAAGACTAACTCACATCAAACTCAGTGACAAATATACAAGTAATTACTCTTGAGTTCGTTTAACACTCTCACAAAAACATACCACTTTGGCAAGAAACCTTAAAAATACCTGCATCTTCTGAGAAATTTCAGTACAGCCGATAAAAAAGAAAAAATAAATTTGCAATCACGATTCGCTCGTCACATGACCGTCTGTAATCGTGACAACTCCTTTGCAGAAACCTTCACCCAAGTTCAACAATCTAGTGAGGATGGCGTGTTTTGTGAGTAATCATGTCAGTTGAAACACGTCTTGAGAAACTTTGATCTATACCATGATTGACTGACCACAAATTTTTTGCAAAGGCGTTTCCACTGTATTGGGTTCACTTAGTGCACTCGACACCCGTGATCACACGCGTTCTGACTGAAGTAGCGTCTTCAAAACTGCCTACCGTGATTCATCAGAGTTATTCAGGGAGGACATGCTGAAAAATTTTTTAAGTAGACTTCACCGTCATAAACACAATTCTGTGCGACATAAATTCTATATATTTTTTTACATTACAATGGAATAAAATTGTTTGAAAGGCAAAACAGAATGACCATCCATCGGTTGTGCAGTATGCTTCTTTCCCATCCCCTCCTGCCTCTGTTACGTTGACAGAAGACTTTCCGTCTGACAGATGTTCATTTATCATCACCCTCCAGCAATCGCAGGGGAATCTTTTAAGAACTGCGTTGGGTAATATTTGTATCTCAAACGGCCAGGATGTCTTCTCGACGCTTGCTTAAGAATTGTCGGTATTTAAAGAAAATTAACAATATCAGTGGCGACAAGCGAAAGTGAAACGAACATCGAAAGTAACCGAGATAGTTTATAGCCACATCAACATAGCTTTCTTAAGTTGCTCTAAAGGAGGTTGTCAAAGGAAGAGACAAAGAGAGAACAAATCGAAGCGATTTTCATAAGTGTAGATGTGAAAAGCGGAACGCTCCTGATTATACAAGGATCCTAAAGTTAAGAGGTACTCCCCAACTCGCCGACCTCTTTGCAATTAACGAAATAAAACTTTTATCTTTAAAGAAAAATTTTCATCTCTTAACAAGAAATGCTAACGTTATGGTCAATTTTCAGACCCAGAGAGAAGAACGAGTATTGAAACAACACTACGACCAGAATTGCAAAAGTACAGATATATATTCCCATTTCTTAAAAGAAATGATGTATTAAAAAAAAAAAATGCCGATAAGGTGCTTAACACATTTTGTCGAATGACTCGTGTAAAGAAATCTGTGCCTCGAGAGAAGGAAACTCTTCTGAAACTCCATGAGTTTCTTAGAGCAGATAAGATCTTGAATCAGTTTTCGTAATTCAC